GGGGGGTCAAGACCCGTGCAGGGCGGGCCTCCCCCACCAGATGGACCGCCTCCATCAGACGCCCCTGGTGGGGGCGGGGGGCTAGTTCCGCAGAGAAGGGGCCGGGTCTCCCCCTCGCACCCCTGGCCTCCCGGGCACCTGCGTGCGTCCCGGGAGCCACCCACCTTGCCCGCGTAGTAGAAAGGGAACCAGGACAGGAGTAGGTCGCTGAAGAACTCGGCCAGCCCGAACAGTCCATACACCACCCAGTAGGTGAGCCACACAGTGTCGTCTTCTTTGCTTGGGCTCTCGATAGCTTTGATTCTGGGGGCGGGGAGGCGCGCAGAGTCAGGGGCTGTCCAGAGCCCCCGACACCCCCTCCCAACACCCGGACAGCCAGCGGGCACTCACGAAGCATATGCTGGGTACACAAATCCGATTACATTGCACAGTAGAGACGCCCCGAAGCCGAACAGAAGATACAGGCTTAGCAGAGTGGCGGCTCCTGCGGGAGGAGAGGGTGTGGGCAGGGCGGCGCGCTCCGAGCCGACCCTGGCACCGGAGGCCTCCTCCTGGCCTGGCAGACCCAGGCTGCCACACTCGCTGCCCCTACGAGAGACCCCTCCGGGATAGGCCTGCTGCCCCCGCAGCGCCCTGGTGACACCTACTATGGCCCTGAGCCCCGTGTCTCCTCGTACGTACAACCAGTTATCAGTCGGTCCCCCCCACCCCCGAACTGTGAACTCCCCAAGGGCAGGTGGGGACCTTGGCCCTGATGGGTAGAGTAGTTGCCCAATAAACACGTGTTGAATGAGTAAGTGACCACCTGCAATCATAATTGCCTTACTCTGGGTCCCGAGGGGAGGGCCGGGCACAAAAGCCCAGCATTTGAACGCAAACAACGGGAGAAAAACCTAGAAGTAAGGCTGTTCATTCCTTCTTTAAGATGTGATTCCCGGAGGCGCCTGGGCGGCTCAGGTCAAGATCTCACAGCTCGTGAGTTCGAGCCCCGCATCGGGCTCTGTGCTGACAGCTCGGAGCCTGGAGCCTGCTTCGGATTCTGTGTGTCTGTCTTTCTCTACTCCTCCCCCGCTCAAGCTCTGTCTCTCTCCCTCTCAAAAATAAATGAACGTTAAAAAAAGAAGACTTGATTCCCAGTGAGCAGAGAAAGGCAACATTGGTAATCTTTATCTCAATACGGTTTTTCATCCTGGCCAGAACATCTTTCGTGGGGGCGCCCCGGGAGCTGCGGGGGCTGAACAGCATCCCCGGCCCCCACTCATCCGTGCCAGAAGCGCCCCAGCTGCGACAACCACAGATGTCCCCAGAAATTGTTCAGTACCCCGAGGGGGACAGCATAGCCTCAAGCGAGGGCTGTTGTCTTAGTGGGAGACAGCTGAACGTTTTCCACTCACTGCGTGACACCGAGCAAGTCTTTCTCTCTGCTTGGAGCCTCAGTTTCCCCATCTGCCAATGGGGTGGTAAGGACCCTGCCTCCTCGGGCGGCCTTGGGGATAGCTAATACCACTCAACAGAGAGAGCTCCTCTTTTCTACAGGTTTGCCGAGCACCTTCTGGGGGTACAAACACATTCCCAGTGACGGGGCCCGGAGCACACACTGCTGGGGGAGGTGGGGAGCCAGAAGTGTTAGCTGCTCTGCAAAGAGTCCTCGGAAACACTGCCTTCATTAAGTGCGCGGGTCTCTGTGCTTCCCTGCTGTGTCTCACTCACTGGCCAGAACAACAGGGCAGCTGGGAGGAGGGGGCACCAAGGTCACTCAGAGAGCCTCTGGGCTCCTGGGAGCATTTTACAGCCTCCGGCCTCCTCCCCAGGCGGTTATCTGTAGAGACAGAGGTCACTTGCGTACCAAAGGGCACCCCCTCCCTTCCCTCCACCTGGGTTAGTCTTTATCCCTCGGGTCTGGGGTCAGGACAGGGAAGGGGGCCTCCCCAGTTGGCCCCAGGAGGTCTGGTCACTGCCTCGTCTGGGTTTCCTTTGTTACCTGGGCTGGGGATTTGACCATCTGGGGCGGGTGGGGCCCAAGGGGGATGTCACCCCCAATTGCTAGTTGGGGGGAGCAGGTTTCCCAGGGCACCTCTCCCTCAATCCCTATTCCTGCAGCCTCAGCAACGGGGGGATGACCTTGGACATTTGAGGGGGGGCACCATCCCAGAGATCAGCAACAGACAGGG